GCAGCAGCCTCTGGGGTGGGTGGGGGGGCGGGAGCGGGCGCAGGGGAATCGGCACCTGCGGTGCAGAGCCCAGTGCGGGCAGCACGGCGCGGTGCCGGCGGCAACTTCAACAGAGCATCCAAGGGAGCGGCTCCCCGCAGGGACCCGTACTCGGAAAGACACCGAATCCCGGGCAGTGCTGCCCAGGGAGGCCACGACAACTGGCAGGAGGGCAAGCACGGGGGAGGCCATGACACGGAAGAGCCTGGGGCCAGGCAGCAGCACGCGGGAGCGAAACACGCCTGAGATGGGGCGTGGGGACGGACACGCAGCAGGACAGGCAGCGCAGCCCTCGCATCACTGTCACCAGCCAGCCGGATTCTCCCAGCCCGAATGGGCACACCAGGGTCCCTCTGCACAAACCAGTCTATTTCTTTGTGTCCCCTACTCAAGTTGAAGAATAAAGACAACGTTACATCTAGGAGGGCTCACTGGGGCAGATTTCGGAATGCTCCTCCATGCTCGTTTGCAAGACTGGGACGTGGGGGCTGGCCAGAGCTCACCAGCACCCGCCTACAGCGTGGCAACAGGGCAGTTACCCTTCCCCGCCTGCAACCTTGCACAATAAAATTCTTCCTGCTGGAAGACAGAGGAAGATCACAAAATTGTTGTTGGCTTTCCTCTCCTTCAAGCACACCCCCGGCGGCCAGCTGCATGGCAGGAGGCACTGCACCCGCTCCAGGGCAGCGGAGCCCTCGTAGGGTAAAACTGCTTAATTTCAGACCTTTCTCAACCAGCGTGAGATCAAGAGGTCTGAGGAGCTAAAAGCATATAATTCACATTCCTCTGGCAAACAAAGATAAAAATGCGAAATAGGTTCTGACTCCCAGAATCAAGCCCCGGTGTTTGCCGGGAAGAGCAGGAGTCAGGCGGGGAGAAGACAAAGCGGAGCAGCAGCTCTCGCTGGCCCTGGGGCAGAGGGACGTGACGGTTCAGTGAGGGCAGCGACAACCCTTCAAGGAGAAAACGCGGCCGGGAGGGAGATGTGCGGGTTTGATCTCGCTGCCCCAGCCAGCACCAGCAGGTCCCTAGGGCGCCCGGTGCTCCCGCTGCAGCACTGGTTGTGGGGGGGACAGTCCCCGAGAGGCAGGGACCGCATCCACAGCTCTGCAGGCCACGGCAGCAGTTAAAGTATTTGGGTGTTTTGCCCAAAAAGAACAGGGACAAGGGACACGAGAACAATTTCAAGAATGTAGGAGCTGGGGGGGAAGCAAAGCGCAGCCAGGGCCTGTCCCCCCAGGCTGGGCAGGGCACCGCGGGCTCCCTGCAGGAGGGAGGTTGGGAATCACGAGGGCGACAGATGAGGAACGGTAACGGCGGCGCTGGGACAGACAGACTGACAGTGTCCCCGAGCAAAGACGGCTGGGGAGGCTGGTCCTGCCATGGCACAGGACGGGGCGGGAGGTGGATCTGCAGTTCCCACAAAGGTGCAGTGAAGGGAGCTGGGTCCGCCTCGGGCACTGCGGTCACAGCGCCAGAACAGCGGGGAAATTCGGGGAATCTGCAGGTAAACCCCCGAGTGGGGCTGAGGTGGGGAGGGACCTCCCGGGGGGGCGGCAAGGAACGCCAGCGTGCGCCCCCACGCTGAGCCCTGAGCTCAGCCCCACAGCAGGGGCCTGCTCACACCTCCCGCTCGAGGGGACACGGGGTGGGGGGCAGCGCTCATGGGGGGTTTCACACCCCGGCAGCAGAGCCAATGGCATTTTTTCCCAATGAACAGTGAATTTCCTCCTCACATGCTCTCCTCTGCCCTCTCCGAAGAAAAACCAGGCAGTTTTCAGCAGAAAAACGCTGGTGAGATCAGGTAAAGCGCAGCACGTATCTTCAGGGGGACGTTCCCTCCCAAGTCAGATGAGTTTAAGTCACCTTTTCCTAAACAACCCTTGTCACTGCGTGTGGGGGGAGCCGTGACAGGAGCCCCCGCCACCAAGGCCGGGAATGCCGGGAGGAGGAAGGGACTGGAAACCCTCCGGGGGACTCTGGGCACGTAGCACCAGCGCGGCAGCTGCAGCAGGGATGGGGACCCCAGCCCCATGCAGGCAGCTGCCGAGAGCATCCTGCACCCCCCCCGCCCCCCTGTACCTTGTACAGCACCAGGTCGTGCTCCCCGTCACGCAGCGTGGTCCCATCAGGCCGCATCAGCTTCACAAAGGCCATGGAGAAAATCCGCTCGCTTTTGTCTTTGGCTGGGAGAGAGAAACGGGGTGAGGTGAAGGCGAGGATGGGCTGCGCAGGCAGGGAAAGGGCAGAGTGGTTGGGGGCTCCAGCCCACCCACTGGCCAGGCAGCCTGGGGAGGGGGCTGCCAGGAAATGGCATTTCTCTCCCTGAAGCCCGCAGGCGGGGAGACCCCGGGGCACTGCTCCTGCCGCCGTTTGGGAACCTCGGAGGGGTGAGAGGGGCGAGACGGCAGCGAGGGGCCAACGGGCCCCCGTGTGTGCTGCCCAGGCAAGCAGCCAACGGCTGCCTCTGCGGGAACGAGGTGGGCTTGGAGCAGGGCTTGGGGCAGGCAGGATCAGCCGCCGAGCAGCATGCTCAGCCACAGGCCTCCACAGTAGCCCCAGGGAAGTGTCCCGCAGCCGCAGGATGTGCCATGCTGCGTGCCCGGGCACAGCCCATCCCCAAAGCCAGGGGACACAGAGCAGGTGCCCGAGCACAGGCCCCGGGGGTGCTCGAGGACACACTCCAACGCCAGCAGAGGAGGAGGGGAGAGGGGAGGTGCTCACAGTCACTGGAGGAGCGGTGCCGGAAGGTGAACCTCAGGTGGGTCTTGTGGACGTCTTCGATGGGAACAGCAATCTGAGAGAGAGGACGTGTGTCCCCGTGAGCATGGGAGGGCATGGGCTGAGCGAGGGGCTGACCAGGACCCCTTGTGCTTGGGCAAAGCCTGTGCTGAACGGCCGGTCCCTGAAACCCAGAGCCACGGGCTTTGCTTCCAACCAGTGAGGCTGAAGTGGGGAGGTGACAGAGCCCTGGGCTCTGCACTGGTGAGGCCACACCTGGAGGGTTGTGTCCAGGTCTGGGCACCTCAATCCCAGAGAGATCTGGAGGGGCTGGAGCGAGGGCAGAGGAGGGCAACGAGGCTGGGGAAGGGCTGGAGAATCAATCCTGTGAGGAGCCAGGGAAGGAGCTGGGAGTGTTCAGGGTGAGGAGGAGGAGGCTGTGGGGAGCCCTCATCCCTCTCTGCAGCTCCTGACAGGACATTGCAGAGAGGCTGGGGCTGGGCTCTGCTCCCAGGGGATCAGGGACAGGACAAGAGGGAACGGCTGGAAACTGCCCCAGGGGAGGGTCAGGCTGGGCAGGAGGAGAAAATGTTTCCCAGCAAGAGTGGTCCGAGAGTGGAACAGGCTCCCCAGGGAGTGGCCGCAGCCCCCATGGCTGGTACAGACCTTCACCGTCTCCATCCAGCGCTGGTGCCGCTGCTGGTAGTAGACCACGGAGCGGTACTCGCTGGCCGGCCTGTCCCCCGCCCCGTGGTAGATGACATTCTGCGGAGAGGGCAGTGGCAGAAGAGACCAAATAAACTCGAAGGGCTGAGGAATTCTGCAGCCCCTGTTCACCTGGGCCAGCCCCGAGCAGTCGGGCCCCCCCAGCATGGTCACAGCTCGGCTTCCGCTGCCCCGCCAGAAGAGTGTTATCGGGGACAGAGGAGGTGCGGGCTGCGTCCCCAGACTAGCCCAGTGGGACCCTCAGCAGTTCACAGCCTCGGGGGCCAGGCAAGAACTGAATTGGGAATAAAAGCAAACACCCGGTGAGAGAGACGAGGCAACAGCCAGTCCTGGGGCGGGGGGAGCTGGGTCTGAGCCTTCACCCACCCTCCTGACAACCCCCCAGCACCTCCTGCCTCTCCTGGGGGTGGAGAGCGGGGACACCCCATGCCTCGGGGGGCCCAGGGGCGGTGATCTTCCCTCTATCCCTTCCGACCACTTCCCCAGATCTTGACTCCGAAGGGCAGCTGCAGGGGCTTCCCAGCACCACAGTGGCACCAGTGCTGCCCGAGGTGGGTGACAGGGGGACGGTACCTGCACCACTCTGCCCGACTCATCGCAGACGCACACCATCACCTCCACGTTCTTCTGCGTCTTCTTGCTGCCCTTGTCGAACTCGCCCTGCACCAGCGTCAGGTAGATGTCGTTCCTGACGTCACCTGGGGGGGAACAGCCCCGTCAGCAAGGCCACGTCTGCAGTGGGGCACCCCCTAACCCTATGCTGGGACCCCCAAAGGCCGCTGGGGTGGCCCAACCCGCCCCCGTGCTTGCCTGGCATGATGACCTCCGGGTAGCCCAGCTTGCGTGCCACCACGGTGCTGCGGTCCACAAGGTGGGGATGGTCCTTCCGCACTTGGCTCAGGTCTCCCCAGAGCATCTTCAGGGACACCCAGAACCCTGCAGGGACAGAGCACGGGACATCGGGTGGGTGGTGGCTCCCAGTGACCCCCTACAGCTCCGATCTCTGTTACTGGCACAATCAGCACCCTGAGCCCCCGCCGCATCCGGACCAAACACACCCCGTGGCCACTGCGGTTTTTCACCGGGTGACAGCATGCAAGAGCCTAGGGGAGGCAGCAGGAGGGGGCCTGGGGCTGGCCAGGGACCAGAGTGAGCCGCCAGACTCCTCGAGGAGTGGCAGGCACGGGGGGGCTGCCCCAGCACAGGGGCTGGGAGCAGCCTGGGGACCCTGAGCACAAGCAGCAACCGCAGGGA